TATCTTCAAACTGTGCAATCGCACAATACTATGTGAATTTTCCGGGAACTGTGTTGGCACTAATTCAGTAAACACAAGCGGGTGTGGGTGTAGTGCTATAAATATTTTTTTTGTTTGAGTTAAGGGTTGCTAGAAATTCATTACCAGTAGCCACTGTACTAAATATAATTTGGCAACCAAGCTGCTTATTTATACCAAACATAAATCCGTTTCCACATTCTGCTGGTGTTGGAAAAATGGAAGGAAAAAAGTCAGCTTCTGTGTGTTGGTAACATACCTTCAACCTGCCAGATTTTCAATGTGTTATTTTGTGCGGGACTACTTTATTTCTTTGTTTTGTTTATTTGCTGTTTCAACCTGTCCGCTCCCTCTGCTCAGCAGGATCTGGCCTGCTCCAAGCCCCCGCCCACCATCAGCGGTTGCGCCTTCAGCCAATCTGCCCCACCCTTTGGCACTCCATCCCAAGTCCCCTTTGTCTTACTCCCTCCCTTGTCTCCTTCAAGGCACGTCACAAGTCCTTCCGCTTCAACCGCATCTTCGGCCGCCTTCTAACCTCCCTCTCCTCCCTCCCTAATCCCATTTCCCCCCCCTCCCCCCCCGCTCAGGTCCAAATCCCTGACCTTGGGACATCCTCCGGACATGAAAGCCTCTATAAAAATGTAATGTTTTTTGACTCCCTGCCCTTAGTGACTGGTCAGCCTTTGCAGGTCCTGCAGATGAGCCGGGCTGGGCGCTCTGTCATCAGCAGTTTCCTGGAATACTGCGGATCCGTCTGGCTCAGGAACCGGACTACCGGGACCGCCACAGAGGGCTGGCTCAACTCCCAACATTCTGGTACCAAGCACGGAACAGGTCACCTTGATGCCAGTTCAGTTCGCTTACCACTTACCATTTGATGAAAATGTTGTTTGGAGTAAAGGTTTTATTAATTTTAAAGGAAAAATAACAACGCAAGGGAGCAAAGACATGGATCCAATTCTGTGTTTACCCCAGGAGATTAAGGTGTAGGACTTGCTTGATTCAAAGTTAATTTGATATCTTCATCCATTACTCTCTGTACATAAAAATGTTTGTGGGACACAGCTGTGAGGTCACAAATTGGTCACTTAATCCAGGACTGTTTGTAGGACACTGCCCTGTTCATTTGGCTGCCGCATTTCGCCCACAAAAATTACAGCAACTACAGGTTACAGTATATTCTGTGAAGCTCTTTGAGATGTCTCGAAGACACAATAAGGCGCTATTTCAAATGCAAGGATTATTATTATTTCTCCCAAATTTTTATAGTCGCATGCATTAACAGTTTTCAAAATACAGTTTCTAAAAAAAAACTGTGTCCTGTTCATTATGTATTATATATTATAATATATTATATTATATTATATCTGGACCTGCCTTCCTCACTCCCTTCGTCTCGCTCCCTCCCTTCGCATTTTCAGGTCTCTGCTGAAGACCTTTCTTTTCGACTGGGCCTTTGGTCACCTTCCCCCCCCTCCCCATGGCTCGGTCCCGGGATCCATTACTGTAAAGCGCTCTGAGATGCCGTCCGGCATGGAGGGCGTTATATAAATCCAAGTTGTTGTTGTTGTTGTCTTGCTGGAGTCCTGGATACGATTGGTTGTTGACCTTGCATGACTGTATATATGTCCTGATTGCATTGTGAAATTTGCACAGACTTGTGCAAATAAAATCAACTGTGTTCATTTTTGTTGACCACTTAGGACAAAAATGCAAGCTTGCCCATGAATGGCAATTGCCTTCGTTTACAGACAAGGAATATGACTGGTTGTCATGTTTCAGCTTTTGTTTGGCGCGCCAAGAGAAATGTCTTTGTTGTAACAGTACATTCTGTTTGTGTGACCTTGCACTTAAAAGGTGGAGGGGGAAATGTAATCTAACAGTTCAAGACAACTAAGTGTGTGGGTAAGCACATCCAGTATGCTACGGAAGCATATGTTGTTCACCATGGTCTAGTGCCGACTAACTCCGAATGCTAAAATCTTGACCTGATAAACATTTGACCACGGGAGCTACTGGGGCATTGTGACACACAATTTAGTCCTATTGTAGTGTACATCCTTGTTAGCTGGACACTGTTAACTGATGCTGGAGCACAATTTTCAACTTAACCTAGAATTGCTCTATTAACTTGCATTTCAGTGTCCAGAATTTGGCAAATTCTTGAATGCAGTTTTGACTTTCAAGTCATCGTTCTGCAGTTCTAAAAAGAAATTTCCAGAAACCGGCTTCAAGATTAAAGCAACGTTCACACATAGAAATTAGATAGTGGTTTGCGGGAGCACAGGGGAAATTAAGGACCATATGTTCTGAAACCCAAACAATTCAATGTCTTTAAATTATACAGAACTATTTGTGTTTTACAGCAAAGTGCCTTTCAGAACTGGGGTGGAATATTGCCACACTCTGGATTTATGTTGGCAAGGCTTCGAAGTCTTCCATTAGTGAGCAAACGCAGCAGAGCAGAATCTTTGTGCACCTGGCATGATGCTGTGAACCAGTAGTCAATGGGGCTTGCAATTTGAGCCCTTTAATTCCATGACCGCCCCTGGCTCCCTTTTCTCAGGCAATTTGGGCTGTATCTCTGGATAAATGTCAGACACGCCAGAATCAATAGGTTATGCCCAGGATCCAAGGAAAAACCCAACATTTTTTGAATGTGGGCTGGATAAGAAACCAAAAAGACTGATGAGCACTCGGGTTGATGAGCATTTTGTTGATTTGATTTAATGGATGCCGTATTTCAATATTAGAGAAGGTTAATGCTCTCCTTTGCTTGACCTTTCCAAGGAACCTGCGGAAGTTTAATTTGAGCTCCCAACTTGCTTGAGAAATGAAATTAAACGGGCTTAAGGTGAAGTTATTGTGAATTAGCAGTTACGGATTTGAGATGATAAGGGAGTTGGAGAATCAGGGTGTCAGCAAAGGTACCTACTGCAAAGGGTTTTTAAATCACAAGGAACTTGCAGTTTATTGTTTTATCAGTGAAGGGTCCATGTTGCCTCTCCCTGTCTATGGCAGGTGCAGGGTGTACAGAAAGCTGCCTGCATTATCAAGCAATGCCAGATTCAGCAAACTGTTTGAGTTGAGCTATTGTAACATTTGAAAAGTTGTTCTTGGCATCAGTCAGAGCTCTGCGGAAAAGGTAAATAATATTGTGCACATTTACATGTCAAGTGCACAATTACTGTTTTAAGTCAATGATGCAGTAAAATCTTAGGTGGAGCTGTGATCAACTAACTGCTGGTTTGTGGTGCAGCAGGAGAAAAAAAAATCCCTGTTTTTGGTGGTAAGGTGATAAGTATCTTCCAGCTGATGACTGATCATTGACTGAGCACCCGGAGAAGTAATTGCAAAGTGCCGCAAGTTACTGATCAGTTTCAAAAGATGCTTGAGAGTTTGCATTTCCAGATTTTTCAGGTTTTGTGTATTCATAAAGGATAAATCAGGTATGTTATTGCCGTCCATGATTTTCAGTAGAATTGCTCCTGTTAAGGATTATTTAAACCAGCAGATACACAATCGCCTTGATTAACAACGAGCAGCAAACATATAAGAAGGCAGTTGTAAATGTGTTTTTACAAGAGGTACAAAGATTGTGCTCGTGTTTGTTTTAAAAAGAAAGCTGCTCCTCTTCTATGTAACAGCTTATAAAGAGGATTTGCTCCTCTTACCCCGTGCACTCTTTGTACTCTTGTGAAATTTATGGTGCTTCCGATGGCCCCTAATCCAATGGAAATGTGGCAGTAAAAAAATCTTGTTAGGTTTTACCGGCCTCCGATTAGCACTTAGCTTCACAAGTTGAAATAAACTTTGATGTTCCAAACCACTCTGAAACCAAACACCTTGGGTATGTTTTATACCCTTCGAAAAGCTCTTGATGATTTAGTCAAGAATGTTGTATTGAAATTAATAGCAGTATAGCGGACCTCGTTTCTTTGTGTGCCATGGCATTGAGAAATGTTTAACTGCAGTGTAAGCGGCTAACCTTTCCCCTGTGTTTTTACTAATTGTTTTTAATTAAATATTCACTCATAAAACAAATGATGTGATAGAAGAGCATGTATAATCTTTTTACGTGCAAGAAAATAATGGATTAAATAGTCAACTAATAAACTATTTGCACATGCAGTTGTACAAAGTTTCAATTTAAAAGGTGCATTCGGTGAGCTTGTCTTTTGTTTTACATTTGGGAGTATATGAGGAGGTGTGGACAGTCCAGTCGGGATTCAGGAAATATTAGATTTGTGAGATAGAGGAGGGGTGATTTGATCTTTTCATTGCACATGGAGTTTTATGCGGCATAAATAGCATCAGGCGCGTATAACCATCTTCTCTGTAATGTTGGCAGAACAGTGCGATTGAGTCTGATTTCATTGACCTTTTGGAAGTGGCAGCTTGTACTTGCCATATGGCCAAGACTATTTTCTCTTTTGAAAAGGGCCTCAAGGTCTTCAAGCACACTTGGCTGGACTTTGTTCTTCAGTGCGTTGAAAGCCAGTTGAAAACAATTGCTTGTTTTCTTACACCTGGCTGCTAGCGGCTGGACAGGATACGCCTCCCTTGCCTTTCCCCTGGTGATTCCATTGTTTCTGGCCAAATCCCCATCACCCACAAAATATACAGTCACCACACTTTACAGTATATTCTGTGAAGTGCTTTGAGACGTCTCGAAGACGTGATAAGGCACTGTATCAAATGCAAGGATTATTGTTATTATTATCATCATCACATTATTGGAAATGTGAGCTTTCAATATTCAAAACTAAGCCTATGACTGCAATTTGAAGTATCCACAATGCTAAAATGTTTTTGGTTTAGCTTTAACTGTCCCCCTACAAAGCGGCTTGCAATGTGCAGCAGATTACCATGTGCAGATTTTCAACCTGTTTGCATTTAATGTTTGTGTGTTTCTCCCATCATCTCTGATGGATTTGCACACAGTCAGACCAGATTCCACCATGTTGTGCTATTCTGTACAGGTTCAGCAAGAAAAGATGGGCAAATGCAGAAAAGATCAGTCTCCTGTAAGTAACACCTGTTGTTCTGTGAGCAAGCTGTTCGAAGCTCTGGGCTTGATATAAAATGGCTGGTGTGCAGATAACCAATTTTTTTAAAAAAAAGAATAACTAATCACAACAAAAAAACATTAACAAACAACAAGAAAAACAATTACCCAAGTGCATGTTTGCAATTTTATCAAGATCTTGAATGGATTGATGATGCGGTTCTTTTTACGTTTGGGTTTTCTGTTTGTTTGCGTAATGTTTAGTTGAAGGGGGTGCAGCTGAATAGTTTGAAGCCCCTTTGACTTAGTAACGCTGGACTTTTCTACAATACTAAACGATAGGGCAAAGCATGTGCCTAAAAATTGGGTTCCATCAAAGGACAGAAGGTAAGTATTCTGGGACGGCCTATTTTGCTTTGACATCTCCCGATCATTGTTCAGGATGGGAAAGGATACATCACTCACTGAAAAGCCTTGTATTTAATCTCAGTTGAGTGCTGAGACCCAAAGTGGAGGATGCACACACACACACACAATACAATAACAAATTACACTTGTATAGCACATTTCACGTCGGGAGGACGTTTCAAGGCACTGGACAGTCAAGGATTTGGACCAAAACAGGTGGTTGGGATCAGGAGGGGTGGAGGGCAGGGAGGGTATGGGTAGGAGGGTGGGCAAAGGCGTGGTTGAAGAGGAGGGGTCTTTACACTCTTCCCTTAAGATGGTAGATTTTTTTTAAGAAAAAGCTTTTTTTTGGCATTTCACAAACATAGCAAAAGGTTACATGGGAATTTCCCTGTAATGTGCCCTTATTTTATGGCACAGCGTGAAATATTGATACTTCAGTGGGTGGATCTGCAGCAGAAGATATGAGGCCTGTGAAAGGTAGAATAGAACAAGCAGCCTGATTCGATAACTGCAGCAGTGACATTGCTTGGGTCACTTGAACGAATCCTGTCCAGAGCAGTTTTCAAATCCGAATGGAGCTTTCCCATGTGATTGACAGAATCATCCATTCAAAGTGTATATGACTGAATTTACCAGTTCGGCCACTACCTACTGTCAAAAACAATGAGTGCAACACAATTTACACACCTTAATCTTCTCCCTTGCCTTCAGTCTTCACTCACATGGTTTAATTGTGTTTTAAGTTGACGTGTTTCTGCATGCTCCCTTTGTGTCTTCAGACCACATTGCATCGCTTGATACATATACATTACTGCTGCTGTCTTGTGCAATTGAGACCATTTTTGAAGGTTAAGATTTTTTTCTTCCCATACCACCATTGTCTTTCCTCCTCTCCTCCTGTGTAGTTTCATGAGTGCAGGGCACCTCGCACAATTTACCTTCATCCATGCTGTTGCCACCTCAAGATTCTACTCACCAGCCTCCGCAAGCTCCTCATTATCCAGAACTCCACAGCCCACATTCTCTTCCGCACCAGGCTCAGCAACACCAATACGCCCATCCTCGCTGGGTTCCATTGGCTCCATATCCCCCAAAGGATCGACTATAAATCTTCTCCCTTGCCTTCAATTGCCTCCACAGCCATGACCCATCCTATGACTGCAATCCCCTACAATTCCTCTGTCATCCCTCCATTCTGCCATATCTTGCCTGGTTCACGATTTCTGCCCCTTTATCAACAGGTGAATTTTCAGCCACTTTGCCTGTAAGCGGTGCTCTCTTCTGAAATCCCTTGCCTTGCCTGCCCTGCCTCTCTGCTTTGAAAATCCATCAAAAGACCCATCTCTTTGACTGCTCCTTCATCCACTTCCTCCCCATACTCTTCCATCTTCCTCACAACTCTGAGTCCCATTCTATCTTTGTGAAGCATTTTGAAACGTTCTTCCTACGCGATCTAAGTTCAAAGTGCTGTTGTTGAGTTGTGACTTGTTTTAAGCAATTGATCTCTTTCTTAAATAATCTGCTGCACAATTAAGTTTCTTCCCCTCTGATAGCTCCCCACCAACAGTTTGCAACCAACAGAATCAGAGAACCTCAAATGGATTTGGGCCCAGGATATCATGCAAAAAACCTTGGATTAAAGACTTGTGTCGCAGTCAGAATATAGAATAAAATATTGGCTATGTGAAAATGTAAATCTTTGCATGACAGATTAATACACTGCATCTCCTTCAAAAATAATGCCTGGAGCTTAATATTAATACATTTATGTAACCATAAACTTCAACTTGTGACCACAATTATTTAAGGCTTTATTAGATTTTAACTAAACTTCTTAAATGGCTTCTGCAAGCAGACACTGGATTCCTTTATAAATTAGTATGCTGGAGCAGTTTGGTCTTAATGAATAAATGAGCAAGGAGAATCTAATAAAAATTCAAAGTACTTTATAATGGTCAGTCCAAAATGGATCCTCTCTTTGGCAGATTATGGTTCTCTGCAATACTGCTAAAGACTGTGAGCAGCACATTTAGGAGAAGCTATTTATATATTGTCATGAATGTTCCTCTTCTTCCCCCTCTCCTCTTGTTGCAGTTGTGAGTTTTTATTCTCTGGTTGAGGAGGGGACAGAGGCAAAGGGGTCAGTTTACCTTTGGAATATCACACCCTGCTCTCCTTTTATTTGTGTAGAGGACGAGGCACAAACCAGTGCCTTGCTTTCAAAGCACAAAACTGCTCATTCTGACAGGAAAGCAATCCAAAACAGCATCTGAAATCAAATAAATATATTAATGTAATTTAATAAAATAACTTGCATTTTCGTAGTGCCTTATGTCAAATGTCACAAAGTACTTAATGGGCAATTACTGTAATTTATAGTTGCTGTTATTTGTAAGCAAATGTGGCAGTCCCCTAAAACCCCCACAAACAACAACAACAAAATGACATGTAGGATGTCCCTAGATCTTTGTTGAGATAATAATAATAATAATAATAATAATAATAATAATCCTTGCATTTGATATAGCGCTTTTCACGTCAGGAGGACGTCCCAAAGCGCTTCACAGAACACACTGTAAAGTGAATTGACTGTATATTTGTGGGCGAACGCGGCAGCCAATTGCGCACAGCAATGTCCCACAAACAGTCGTAGAATGAAAATGACCAATTTATTATTGTTTTTGGTTTTGGAGGGATTATTATTAGGCTCTGTGTGGAGTAAGGAAACTTGCCCAAGGTTTCGCCCTGACCTGCCTGGAATTGAACTCGGGTCTCTCACTTGCAAAGCGAGTGCTCTAACCACTGAGCTACAGGACTCCACTGTCTTCACATTAATTTACTGTGAAGAGTAGTTGACTGTATTTGTAGGCAAATGCTGCAGCCAGTTTTTAAACACATTGTTCAACCCATAGAGTTTGTTAATAACAATCTTTTCAAGGTTCAATTTGATTATATTCTGGCTGCATTTATATAGGATTAAATTGAGACTGTTTGTGCCAAGGTTATAAAAGTCTATCTCAATGAGTGGCTGTGCAGTATTATTAGATTGTAATATGTGCTGCTTCTATTTCTGATATTTGGATGTGTTTGCTAATTCAGTAACTTCTCTCTCATCACTGTGACCTAGAAAGCATAATTATAAAGAGCCATTGTTGCTATGTAGTGGGACTGATCGATAATTTTCTTCAGGTGGTTACGTTTATAAAGTTTAATCTGTGATTCTACTTTTACCGATGACAAACTAATATTAAAGAAAAAATAATTGTAAATCTGTGTTGAATGCACAGTGTTATGTAAGTGAACCAATGCTGCTGATGCCAATAAACTGAACATAATGCTTGCTAAGGGAAGGCTAGTCAATAGCTGTGAATGTGCAACAGTACTTATCAAGTGAGTGTAGTCATTTCACTGCAGGTAATTTGTGAATGACATTGGAATGTGTTCTTTTTACAGCATAGTTCAGCAGACTTGGTGCATTTGCTCTCAGGACTTGAAGCTCACTTTAAAGTTGATGCTAAATTCCCTCGTAGTGCCAGCAGTACAATGTTAGACATTGTTGGTATCATTGGGTCGTGTCTCCGTTACTTTGGCAGCAGCAAAACTTGGCCTGATACTCGGTCCAATGTTGCATTACCTGACATTAACCAGACTTTTTGTAACTAACGGAATAATAGGCAACTCACAGTTTATTTCCATGTCTATTTTACACATGACTATGACAGCGGCAAGGTTTGCATTGCCAGACTAATTCTCAAGCTGGATTCCAAACTGAACTCAACGCTGTATAAAAACTGGTAACCCACCTTTTCCATATTTGGGAATTAATGGCAAAAATGTTCCTTTGATGGTTCACAGTGGCTTTGGTGGGAATCAAGTAGGTAGGTTCTCATATAAAGCTGTACAATAAAGTGCAAATGTGTGTTTGCGACAGGATATATAAGTGCATCATAAAATATACAGCATGGAAATACTTGGGAATGGAATGTGCTGACAGAAACTATACTGGACTTGCTCACTCTATATACCTCTAGCCAGCTTTTGGCCTTGCTATCCATATGTATTTTTTGTATTAGGAGACGTTCTATTTCATGGGCCTGATGGCACATTTTGGATTGTAAGATTGAACCCAGTACGGTGGGCAATTCCAGTCAAAGAATTATTTGCTGCCACTCTTTTTCCCCGATCCATTATCCTATGTGAAGGGCGGTATATAAATAACAATTGGTTTTATTAGTTTATTTTCTCCCCTTTTCTCACATGAAGATGCTCAAGGAGAAAATCCATTTGGGCCTGGATTTACTCTGTTGGTAGAAGTTTTCTCTACAGGTTTTTTGTAAGTTATTTTAAGAAGGTACAGAAAAACAAGTTAAGACTGAATTCAACAATTTGTCAAATTCTGGATGTTCTAAAATGCAACATAAATGGAGTATATCTGGATCTGAGTGGATTTTTTCCCCAACTGATTCCTGTTGGTATCCAGCAGTTTTCTGATAGGTTGACAAAGTATAAGTTTTGAATGTTCAGGGACTCAGGTAGTTTCAAGATAGACAAGACAGTAAGATTGCAGCCTTATTAAGTATACAGAATTGCCAAAGCTATCTATATTAA